CATTCAGGGTTTGTTTTTTGTTTTTGTTTTTGTTTTTGTTTGTTTTTTTTAGAAAGAGTGAAGGGATCTTTCAGTCATCTCATAAAATTTAGAAAGTAAGCGCAACTTCCATCTATACTTTATTCTGATATGGTGCTATTTTTTATTTTTTTTTAAAGTTCAGAACCAAAATTTCCTTGATCACAAATTTGCCTCCCAAAGTGGGCAATTAAACAGAATAGACCTATCTGCTAATCCTACTGTATGCTAATAGTTTTTTTTTTTTTGGTTTATTTGTTTGTTTGTTGTTGGAATAAAGTAAGAAAAGCAGATCTGAAATAGAAGAAAGGAGAGAATTGCATAACATGCAACAGGGGGGAAAAAATTACAGGCCAATGTGGAATAGCATATATTCCCAGAGAAGGAAAATTTATTTCTGTGAAAATAATTCATAGCAAAACTGCTTTGAAAGTTTTATCAAAGTTCAGAGAGTCACAAACCTGATCGACATAATACTTTCTAAATTGGAGCCACTTTGCTTAGCATGGGGTATTGAATATATTATTGTATAAAAGAATGAATTCTTTGAAGTATACTTTCTAGGGCAGAAAAAGGATACCTCTTCAAAATATACTTTGTTTATTAAAACTGTTTTCTAAAATACACATCTAAAGAGCTCCATTAATCTTGTAAGAAGAAAGCTAAGAACTTCCAGGCACATAATGATCTATAAGTCATACTGTGGATTGCATATATAGAACAACTGGATAGCAGGATATTCGGTATGTGAGGAATATACAGAGCTTACAACATACTCACCTCTTATTATCAGAAAAACACAAAAGACCAAACAGCCTCCTGGGTGCCCATTTGAGATAGAATGAATTCTCACTTCACCTATTATGTAGATGAAATGCTAAAAGTGGTCCTTTGTGGACCTGATCCTATAGAGAGGAAAACCATCAAAATCAAACAATGTATTAATTTTTCTACACAATGGAATTTGCACTAGAAATTGTTTCTATTTTGCACAATCGCTAGAGATTTGTCTTCTGTAGGTTAGAAGAAGCTGCTATTTGTTCAAAGTTGCAGGTATCCTTTTTGTGACCTTCCACAAGCAACAAAAGTTTACATAAATCAACAATCAATTCTCAAATTTAGCAAGAGAACTAGCATTCACTCCCACATTTTTTTTTAAAAACAACAAAAAAAAGTCAGCTTTGATGAGTTATTTGTTGCAATTTGATTTGGGAGTTTCTTCTGTAGGTACATTTTTGGCATTATTTTTTTGAATAGTTTGTAATTCTGGTAATTACTGGTCATCCATCACTTTTTGGTTGAAAAGACAGGTACCAATTGTCTCTCCCCCAAGGCGAGGCAAACCCTGTCTGCTTTTCTAGTATCCACAAAACTGCTTGTATAATTTTTTTGTGATAAACAAAATAAAAACGATCTTGGTACAACCCACAATTTCCATCGTTCTCAAGACAATTATTAAGTGAGTCATCATGCCCAGTGTTGCAACCTTATTTTTGCCACAGTTAAACGTATCACTGAAGTTATTAAGTGAATGAAGAGGTTATACTTCATTAAGGGATTTCCCAGTGGTGGGATTCAAATAATTTAACAAATTTCTCTGCCCTAATGACTGGCTGTGTGGGTGTGGCCATGCTGGGTGTGGCCAGGGTGTGTGACAGGCAGCACTCAGTCTCCTCCACCTGCCTGGGAACATAAACGGGCCATGGGGAGGGCACACTGGCCACCCCCATGCCTCATTTTGGGCCTAGTAGGCCTCACTGCAGTCTCCTGGGAAGAAAAATGGACCACAGAGGGGCCACGCCGCAACCCCCTGCATCCCGTTTTGGACCTAGTAAGTTTCCCTGCATTTACCTGGGAGCCAAAATGGGGTGAGTGGGGACTTCTGGAAGGGTTGGGGTGAGGAGGGGCGGGGAGGGGCCAGCCAGCAATTTAACAACCGGTTTGGCTGAAGTGGTGCGAACCGGTTGAATCCCACCACTGGACTTAACCCATTGACTTTGGTTGTCAGAAAATGGCTGGCAAGGACACAAACGGTGATCAAATGACCCTGGGATCCCGCAACCATCATAAATTATGCCGGTTGCCAAGTGCCCAAATTTCAATCACATGACTGTGGGAATGTTGTAATGGGCGAGAGAACCAGATGTAAATCGCTTTTTGTCAGTGCTGTTTTAACTTCAAATGGTCACTGAATGAATGCTTGTGAGTCGAGGACTACCTGTATAATAGTTTTAAAGAGTTACCAGGTATTTTAAAATGTTGTGATTTGTCATACCTCTTTGAGAAGACTCCGTGGATCACAAGCTCAAGAATGAAAAGATGGACAATGGCTGTTTCAATCATGACTGGTCTTCATCAGTGGAACACAGGGGTGAAATCCACTAGGTTCTGACAGGTTCTAGAGAACCGGTAGTGGAAATTTTGAGCAGTTCAGAGAACTGGCAAATACCACCTCCGGCTGGCCATAGAGTGGGGTGGGAATGGAGATTTTGCAATATCCTTCCCCCAGGAGTGGGGAGAGAATGGGGATTTTGCAGTATCCTTCCCCTGCCATGCCCACCAAGCCACGCCTACAGAACCAGTAGTAAAAAAATTTGGATTTCACCACTGGTGGAAGAGCTTGCTCCCGAAGTTTTGGATGCTCTAACCCTAGAGGCTTTAAAGAAGAGATTGGACAACCATTTGTCTGAAATGGTATAAGGTTTTGTCTATGGTGATTCTCAGTCATCCGGGTCATAGTTATCCCAAAGGTGCTTTTTTCGAGAGGCAACTGGACTTTCTTGAAGAATCTCACCAGGCTCAAGGTTGACTCAGCCTTCCATCCTTTCAAAGGTAGGTGAAATGAGGACCCAGTTTGTGGAGGCAATAAGCTGACTTTGTATAAATATACAAAAGTATGAAGGCTATTGCTTAACGCATTGTAAGCTGCCCTGAGTCTCCGGAGAAGGGCGGCATATAAATTAAAGCAAAAGAAGAAGAAGAAGAAGAAGAAGAAGAAGAAGAAGAAGAAGAAGAAGAAGAAGAAGAAGAAGAAGAAGAAGAAGAAGAAGAAGAAGAAGAAGAAGAAGAAGAAGAAGAAGAAGAAGAAGAAGAAGAAGAAGAAGAAGAAGAAGCTTGTATGAGAAATGAAACATCTTCAAAGAAAAGCAAGAAAGTTCAATTGCCTCTTGAAAAAGCCACCTTTTGGACAGGTATAAGTTTTCCTGCTTGAGCAACGCGCTGGAAGAACTCCAAGATCTCTTCCAACTCTCTTCCAACTCTGCTATTTATAAATTACCATGTCAGCAATGCAAGGCAACAAAGCAAAGCAAAGCAGAAAGCTGCGTTCAATTAAAAAACAACAACAACACTGAACTGTTTGGTTCTTCTTAGTATTCTAAAATCTTCCAGTGGAAAAGAAGAAAGAGGATAGAGAAACATGTCCAACGACTGGCAGCTCTATCTTCCAATCAAATACCCACTATTGGTTGTTAAAATCTCCACATCTCAGGTGGTTGATACAAAGAATTTGAGAGTTTAGCTTTTCACTTTTTCCCACCTCCCATTTTTAAAAATAACAAGAAATTGCAGGAACTTTGCTAGCATAAGGGCCATCATCTGGTTTAATGTAAAAGTTGAGTGAATTAATCTTACTAATAGAGAGTTAATAAATCTCTAATCCCAACACTCAGTTCCAATCAGTTCCAATCCATTCACAAAATAACATCATGTTTCCTTGCTATTCCCAGTTTCTTTTGCCAAAACCTTTCTCCACTTTTCTCTTTCAAATTTGCCACAAATATTTTTCATCATAAGGTCCACTTTTGCTGCAAACTTTATTATAAAGTAAGGTAAAAGTTCCCCTCGCACATATGTGCTAGTCGTTCCCAACTCTAGGGGGCGATGCTCATCTCCGTTTCAAAGCCAAAGAGCCAGCGCTGTCCAAAGACGTCTCCGTGGTCATGTGGCTGGCATGACTCAATGCCACAGGCACACGGAACTCTGTTACCTTCCCACCAAAGGTGGTCCCTATTTTTCTATTTGCATTTTTTACGTGCTTTCGAACTGCTAGGTTGGCAGAAGCTGGGACAAGTAACGGGAGCTCATCCCGTTATGCAGCACTAGGGATCTGAACTGCCAACCTTTCGATCAACAAGCTCAGCATTTTAGCCACTGAGCCACCGCATCTCTCAAAGTTTATTATAGTGTACCTCAAAAAAAAAAAAATGTTATGAGCACCTTTCAGAAATGGATTTAAAGATTTGTAGATGAAATGTCCCTGAACTGATTTCTATTGAGTTTAGCACCTACTTACAATAGAGATAAAAGTGTCTCTTGGAGGAAGCTTATACATTAAATATTGAAGTGTTTCTGCCAGGGTCATTTTGCTTTTCAAACCACAATCAGCATAGACTGTGCTGACACTGCAGAGAAAGGGGTGGGGGGAATAGTGTTGGTACAACTAGGAGACTCTTTAGTCAATACACAATCACAATCCAATTATCCAACTTTCCATCAAATATCATCTTCTCACTTGCTCATTTTATTTAATGTGAAGATGAACATGTGAACCGAGCCCTACATAATTCTGTCCCCATCGTCAATTAGGTCATACTTTCTGCCCCTCTTCACTGACTGATGTTTGATCCATCCCACTGTCATCTAAACCTCTAAATGTTTTCATATGAATGCATTGTTTTTTTTGTTTTAATTTTTTTTTAAAAAAAATTACAAACATTTCAAATCAATGCGTGAACAGTGTGGCACCTGAGTGTCATACATTTAATACAAATAAAACTAGTAAAATTAATCATAGTTATTACATTCAATCTACTTATATATTTCTAATAATGATACACAATTATAATAAGTTGCAATCTGTCATTGTTCAATTATTCCATATTTTCTCTTATTGTTACTTTATTTTATTACATAAAAGTGTCTACACTAACATTCCCCTTTCTCTTATTTCTATCACTTATTCTAACATTTAATCATATCACCTTTTACTGAAAAAACATGTTCATTTTATCCTGCCTGGCTTCTGTTCGTGTCACCTACCTGAAACAAAGAAAAGAAAAAGAAAAGAAAAGAAAAGAGAGAGAGAGAGAAAAGGAAAAGCAAATCAGAACAACAACAAAAAGAAATCATTTATCCATCATCTCTTGCCCGATTCAATACTTTGGTTGCTATGCTTTTTTAAATTTGCCTCCCACCTTCCTCTCTAGGATCTTTATTATTTCTATCTGTAACTGCTTCTTAACTATTCAATCTGGGTATTTCATTGATTGCATTGTTGACTTGCAAACCAAGGCCATTAAGATTGTTCTTAAACCACTATCATGTGGCCACAGAAAATGTAGTACATTTGTAAAGCCAGTTCAAGGAAAAGACAAAACTTTGATTTCTTTCCTTCTGAATGCACTAATCCTGGGTTCATCATCATCCCTCACGAAGTACCCCATTGGGATGAGACCTCGTGATTGTGAACTTTTAAAAATGCATTCTTTCAGCATTTTTATTTATTCCACTGTGCCATTGAGGCTGCCTAGTTAAATTGTATTATTTATTCTGGTTTTCTTCTAGGAGTAAATGTCATTAAGTGTGCTAGGGTTTTTAATGTGAATAGCCAGATGTAGGATTGCAGTGCAAGTATATCTGATGTTCTTGAAATGGAAGACTTGAGGCTGAAGGGGTCAGAGATAACAACATCAATGATATGGAGAGGACATATGAACCAAATATGAGCTGTTTATTCATAGATAGACTGCTCTGCTTCTACCTGGGCTAATGATTAAGGCTCCAGGCTAGAAACCAGGAGATGGTGAGTTCTAATCCCACTTTAGGCATGAAAGCCAACTTGGTGACTTTTGAGCCAGTCACTCTCTTTCAGCCACACTCACCACATAGTCCTGGGGAAAATAGGAGGAGGAAGGAATGTTATGTATAAAGGTAAAGGTTCCCCTTGCACATATGTGCTAGTCGTTCCCGACTCTAGGGGGTGGTGCTCATCTCCGTTTCAAAGCCGAAGAGCCAGTGCTGTCTGAAGACTTTTCCATGGTCATGTGGCTGGCATGACTAAATGCCAAAGACTCACAGAACTCTGTTACCTTCCCACAAAAGGTTTTCCCTATTTTTCTACTTGCATTTTTTATGTGCTTCCGAACTGCTAGGTTGGCAAATATACATGTCCCAGGATACTGTTGCAAGATCCAATTGTAATTGTGTCAGTCACCAGGACCAGAAGTATAGTTTTCCAAGCTTTCGAACTCATGCTGGAGCCCATCATCAGAGAGCACTTCTCTCTCACCAGAATGGTGAACCCATCCTCAGAGAAGTCCCTGGGGATGGGCTCCAGCACGAGTCCGAAAGTTCAGAAAGCCAAACCTTTGGTCCCGGTGACTGACTCAGATTGGATCTTGCAGTATTTATGTATGTTCATTGCCTTGAGTTATTTATGAAAAGAATAATACAGGAGGGATAAAAGAATCTAAATTAATAAACATAAATCTGGGATCCCTCACATATACCCCTGGAGCAGGCTTCCTATTCCAATTAGGAGAGTCTTTTAATTGTTTATTTTAAAAAGGGAAATTGGCATGCGGCAGAAAACAAAGTCCACTTTTACTTGGAAATGGGCTTCTTTGCCTGAGAGAGCAGAAAAATAAATTGGGTAGGAGGAAATCAATTGGCTAGGGCAGTTCAATAAGATTAGAAGATAACCCAGATTTGGAAACTAGTTCTTCCACTATACCAGTGCCAAAATGGGACTACACAGAGTGCCAAAATGAGAGCGCGCGTGTGGGGGTGGGGGAACTCCAGAAACCGGAAGAGCAGCTCCCCAGTGCACACGCACAGGAATGTTGGAAACTGGAAGAGCAGTTCCCTGGTGCGCATGCGTGGGCCGGGATCTGGTTTCCGGAATGTGCATGCGCACCAGGGAGCTGCTCTTCCGGTTTCTGGCACTCCCGTGTGCACAAAGATCAGCTGGCCAGTGTGCATGTGCACACCGGAACCTGGAAGAGCAACGGGTGACGGCTGGTGTGCTCACAGAGAGGGGTCTGCATGCCACTTCGGGCATGCGTGCCATAGGTTCGCCATCACAGCACTATACCATAGTGGCAGGTGTCCTGCTGCAGCCACTAACAAACTAGGCACAGGGAGTTAAAACCTGACATTTCTGATCTAGAATCTTTTTCTTTTTCCTTCATCTCACTTGATTTTCAGAGAGAGAGAGAGAGAGAGATCTGAGTTGTTAATGCTTTGTTTCTATCACCCTTTAACTTCTGCTGTGCTGAGATTTCTTTTAAGGATAGCCTCCACTGTTTTATGCTGAAAACAATCAAGTATATTATAATCATAAAAGAAGCAATACAGTCCAAAATATAATCCTGCGATGCTCTTGTCAGGATTTTAACTACCTGCTGCAGTTCAGTACTGAGACACTGTCTACAGCAGGGGTCCTCAAACTTGGCAGCTTTAAGACTTGTGGACTTCAAACTCCCAGAATTCTCCAGCCAGCTATGCTGGGAGTTGAAGTCCACAAATCTTAAAGCTGCCAAGTTTGAAGACCTCTGGTCTACAGCATAGACTGAGCAGAATGTTGATAGACTTGTTGATAGAATGTTGATAGAATGTTGATCAGCCTTGGATAGTTCACTTCGAAATTATGTAAAGACTCTAATACAAGCCAAGGCTTTCAAAATACTTGGCCCAAATCGCATGCATTCATGCATTCACAGGCATCTTTTGTTTTTGTTTTTGTTTTTCCACTGGTTTTTAGAAAATATTGGGATCCTCACCTAGGGTTTTTTCCCACCCACCCTGCTCTCCAAACTCCAATGTCCCCCGCTTTGTTTTAACTGATCTGTAGTTACTTACCCCGACTGAATTCCTGGCCTGTTACAAATACAATTTCAGAATGTGCATTTGATCCTTCAGCAGGAGATTGTGCTCCATCTACTGCTCATGTCACAGAACTGATTCAATATCTGGAACGTTAGATATGGAAGTTAAGTGAGGAGGGCTGTTCATCATGCCTCTGTTTGTCAGATGATATCTTTCAGTTAAACCAGTCTCCTATCCATCCACCAGTGACCAGGTGTATGATAAATTATGCTCTCTTGGAAATGAGGCCTGCTGTGCTGAAAGGCTTAAAATATAGCCAATTTATATGATATTTAAACTGGCTTTGAGCTTGCTCGCTCTTCCAAATATTAAGAGCCAGGTTATAAGGATGTCAGCAGCCCCATTTTAGAACAGACCTGTACAAGCATGGCATGATGGAATAGAAGGACTATCTACGCCCAGTGAAGAATGGGAGATGGCAGCAGAGACTGGAGAAAGAACTGCTGAAGCTACTCATACCTTAAGCCATGGATGAGTGGACAAGACACTGTGGACCATACTGCCAATCATTTATCATCCATCTTGGAAGATGAGGATGGAGAGAAGATTGGAAGATGAACTTCTCTCTCCTGTGGCAGCAGAGCAAGGTGCCATCAATACTCATGTGTGTCTACTTAAGTTCTTAGAAGAGTTGGGAGCTTCATAAATTCACCAGTTGAATTTTGTGAGACAGGACAGCTAGTGCTAGAATGAGTAACTCCAATAGAACAACTGTCAAGTCTTTGAAGATATAGGGCAGTGATGGCTAACCTTTTCCGGACCGAATGCCCAAAGGGTGCGTGCATGCGTGTGAATCTGCATGCACACGCCTGAACCTCCAAAATGCAATGCACATTCAAGATGTTGGTTATTACTTTTAAAGCCCTACATGGCTCAGGGCCAGGCTATAGAAATGCGACAAAATAAATAAATAAATAATAAATAAATAAACATGTGCCCCCCTGCATGTGTCCCATCGCACATGCGCACACAGCCCCCTGAAGGCAGAGACCCGAAGACCAGCTAGCCAGCGGGAGACACGCACATATGCACAGTGGAGCTGGACTGGGGTGACGGTTCACGTGCCATCAGAGAGGGCGCTGCGTGCCACCTCTGGCATGCGTACCACAGGTTAGCCATCCCTGATCTAGGGCATGTATTGTCTAGGGTACTGGTGTGGACAGTACCATTTTATTTCCCAGAGAGAGGAGAGAGAATGCCTAGAAAATGGCAGGTAAGAATGAAGAGCCCAAGCCACACTTGACATTCTAGATGTGTAAATATCCTTATGAGTATCCATGTAAGGAGTAATTTATGTCGACCACTATTCAGTCTACCTATTTTTTTGAGGTAGAACCAACAATAGAAGCATCACAGGAAGATTCTGCCTGTGGTGATGCATTCTTGAATTATTCACTGTTAAGTTCTAATAATTATTAAGAGAAGTGTATTATCTGCTTTTACCAAGCCATTTTGTTAGGTAATGAATTAGATAGCATCCTACAGGAAAGAAAGAAAAAAAATTCTGTATTGTATCCACACTACTCTTAATTCTATTATCTCTCTCTCTCTCTCTCTCTCTCACACACACACACACACACACACACACACACACATATACCCCTCTCTCTTTCTCTATCATCTATCATCTATCTATCTATCTATCTATCTATCTATCTATCTATCTATCTATCTATCTATCTATCTATCATCTATCTGTCTATCTATCTATCTATCTATCTATCTATCTATCTATCTATCTATCATCTATCATCTATTTGCATTCTATCATGACAGATTTGAAGATGAATCCCTCCAACTTTCTCTTCTTGTTCATCCTATGAAAAATGCCCCACCAAAAATAACATCTACCTTAATGCATGCAAAAACAACAACAACATCATTGTAAATGTACTTTGCTGGCAAGGGGAAATTCACAGCTTCTTATAACCTATCCATCTTTGTCCTGTCCCCTTACCTGTGAAACTATGCTTGTTTATTTACAGATAAATCTTGCTTCTTCCTCTCCGGCATGAACGGTGAACGCTTGTCTTCAACTGTTACTAATGATCTCCTTGTCTGCTGCCTGCTTCCCTTTTCACTCAGCAAGGTAAAATTCAGCTGTGCTTGCCAAAGCAAGAAATTGTGCGAACTACTCCGATCGATGCATTTGCCTACTATCTGGCCAATTCTTTTTTTAAGATTAAAAAAAACCATAAACAGGAAGATTGGAGATTCCATCAGGCTGCCCATGGATTCAGGTACTTGGACAAGATCCTGGGATGATACCACATGCATTTCATCATTCCGTTTCCCAAGGCAGTAGCCTCCATTTTTCATTAAGATATCACAAATTAAGATATAGTAAATTAGTGCCCATACTTACACCGTATTTTTCGGAGAATAAGACGCACTTCCCCCTCTCCCCCTAAAAGAGGCTGAAAATTTGGGTGCGTCTTATGTTCCGAATGTAGCTTTTTCGAAGCTTTTTTTCAGCCCTAACGAGGTGCTAGCGAGTGAAGCAATCTCTGCTTCCCTGCTTTGCCTGCTCCCTCCGACTCTCAGCTGTGAAGTTTTTTATCAGCCCTAACGAGGCGCTAGCGAGTGAAGCCATCTTCCATGCTTTGCCTGCTCCCTCTGACTCTCAGCTGTGCTTTAGAAGCTGTTTTTTCTCCCCAAGCAGGAGATAAAAAGCATGCATGCTCAAAACCAGCAAACTAATGTGCTGAAGTGACCAGGCTAAGGATGCTAGCCAGATGCTAGCTGGTAGGCAGATTTTTTTTTCTATTTTCCTCCCCAAAAACTAAGCTGCGTCTTATATTCCAGTGCATCTTATACGCTGAAAAATATGGTATATTAGCATATGCACATTTTCTATAGATTTATGCTTCCCTTCCTGGTCAAATTTTAAATGCAGCCGTTTAGAAAACTGTACAGATACTTCTCAACTTATAACCACAACTGAGCCCAACATTTCTGTGCTAAGCAAGACAGTTGTTAACTGGGCTTTGCTCCATTTTACGACCTTTCTTGTCATAGTTGTTAAGTGAATTGCTGCACATGTTAAGTTAGTAACACGGTTGTTCAGTAAATCTGGCTTGCTAGTCAAAAGGGGATTGCATGACTCCGGGACACTGCAACCATCATCCATATGAACCAATTGCCAAGAGTCTGAATGTTGATGAATGTAACACGGAGATTCTGCAATGGTCATAAGAAATATGAAAAACAGTCACACGTCACTTCTTCCAGTGCTGTCGTAGCGTCGAACTATCACTAAATGAACTGTCATAAGTTGAGGACTGCCTGCTATTGCCTCATATCACCCAATGGATGTGGAAGGTTCTCTTTGTCAGCTTTGGAAGCCATATTAACACTGGAAGCTTCCACACTGCCATCTTCTTGTGCTTGGGAAAGTAGGAGGGGGAGATTTAGTAGAGACATTGTGGTTAGACATAATAGCATTCTTCTTTTCGGTCAAGGTCATGGTGTTTTTGCATCTGGAGGAGGAGTGGTTGCAGTGGTGACTCAAGTTGGGACGGATGATGATTGGGCCATGTGATGGACTGATGGGTGCAGGGGCTGGATTTTGGGGTTTTGATTTACTGAAGGAAAACCTGGAATTCTCAGATTCGGGTTTTCCCAGATTTATTTTATTTATTTTATTTTATTTTGAATTTATATACCGCACCTTCTCCCGAGGGACTCAGGGCGGTGTACAGCCAGATAAAAAACATACAATACAAACATTAAAAACAATTAAAAAGATATATATAAATTTGGCCCAAAAATTAAAAATCACAAAACAATTTAAAACTTTTAAAAATTTCTTCTTAAGCCAGCCCGGCTTGCTGGAAAAAGTGGGTTTTAAGGGCACGGTGGAAGGCACTGAGGTCTTGGATTCTCCTTATCTCTGGGGGCAACTGATTCCAGAGGGTAGGTGCCCCCACAGAGAAGGCCCTCCCCCTGGGGGTCACCAGCCTGCATTGCTTGGCTGATGGCATCCCGAGGAGGCCCTCTCTGTAGGAGCGCACAGGTCGGTGGGAGGTCATCGGTAGCAGCAGGCGGTCTCGAAGATAACTAGGTCCTATGCCATGGAGCGCTTTAAAGGTGGTAACCAACACCTTGAAGTGCACCAGTGCACTTATTAGAGTATACCTACTCTAATAAATGGAAGCTTTGCGATGATGCCTGTCTCAGAGTTTTTAATTGGAGTTGGGTTGTTCTGGAACACTGACGTTCTTCTATGGTCTTTATCTGCAGATTAAGAGTGGTTTCCTTCTTTTTCTCCGACATTTTCATACATATATTAAATGCAGAAATGGAAAACAGGTTTGAGATGAGAGACAGAAAGACAGATTGTGGACCCTCCCTTTTCCTTGTTCCTGTGTTCCCTGTCCCTTAATCTGACAGGGGATGAAAACCTACACGAGATGTAAAGGCGATCAACGGCCTTTCAAAAAATTTCAGGAGGTCAAGGAAGGAGAAGGAAAGATGGCAAAAACAACATCTGCTGGCACTTGTCACTGCGACACCAGGAGCTGCCCAATATTTTTCAGCCATCAAACATCTGTTTTATTGCTTTGAACGTGGCCATTGCTTCCCACACGGGCAACATTATGGCTCATTTTTGCTTTGTTCTAGATAGCTCACCAGAGACGAAAAGGATGTCATGTTGGAACGACGTAAATGTCTACATCAATTCTTTGTGTCGTTTCTGTTGGGATGATAATAACCCAGTTCCTAAGGACGAGATTTAAATGGGGTTCACATATTAAAATGCCCTGATCTAATTTACAATTCCCAAACTAATAGATGAACCCGATCGCAATTATTCTTCGGTTGGTCACATTTCCCCAACTTACGTGCTGCAATCACAATTGTGCACAAAGGTGTATAAGCAGAGTATATTATGTGCACGTAAATTAGCAATGGTCATTTTGCAAAATTCTGCATGTAAAAAAAAATACACCTTAGGAATAAATAGCCTCTGAAAATGCTTGCCAAAATGCATACAGCATAGGAAAATCAACATAACAGCAATATATCAAGAAAGGGAAGTGATCAAAA